TTTACTTAGGGAGGGGGAGGGGGGGTCATGGGATGTAGGCATGGCAGTGCTGGGAGCAGGGAGCTCTGCTCTGCTGCTGTTCACCCAGCTGGGGCAGGGGGGGCGGGATGCAGGCGGGGCTTGCTCCAGGTGGAAGGGGGCAAACAACAGCAGGGCAGAAACCCCTGCTCCCAGCACTGCCATGCCTGCATCCCACACCCTTGTCCTGCTCCGCACTAGCTGGCAAGTGGTGGCAGGGCAGAGCCCCTGCTACTAGTGCTGATGCAGGCACAGCAGTGCTGGGAGCAGGGGCTATGCCCTGCTGCCACCCAGAGCGAGGTGCACCTGCATTGCACCACCCCCCCACCATCCAGTTGGGCAAGTGACAGCAAGGCAGTGCCCCCATGGCTCCCCCCACCAGGGCAGAGGCATGCACAGCCAGAGGAGCTGCAGGAGAAGTCTCCATGGTTGCCCTGCCCAGCACCATCCCGCACTTGGCCCAGCCTCTGACACTTTAAAAATAAAAGCCCCACACTCACCGGCTCTGAAAACGGGGATTGTGGCATGTGGCAGAGCCCCCCTGCGCAGCATGGGGCAGTGGGGATCGCCCCCCACCTGGCACCCATGTGGCAGCTGCCCCATGGCATGGGCACGGCACGGCTCAGCAGCGCATTGTGCACGGTCTGGGAGCTGGGGCAGCTCCACATGTCAGCCAGAGCCTGGCAGCACTCAGCCCCAGCTCCCAGACAGTGCACAGTGCCTTGCTGAGCCGTGCTGCACCCACGCCATGGGGCAGCTGTGGCGCAGGTGCCAGATGGGGATCGATCCCCACTGCCCCTCCACTGTCCTGCGCTGCATGGAGGGGGCAGGGGGGCTCTGCCAGTGAGTGTGAGGCTTTTTTTTTTAATTGCTGGGATGCTGGGGTTGGGGCTGGGCAGGGCAGCCATCAGGGCAGGGGTGTACCGGGGGGGAAGACATTAAGGAGCAGGAGCTGTGCCACGTGGCCCCAGAGCTCCCACAGCCCCTGCTATAGCTGGTGAGTGTGGGGCTTTATTTTATTTTATTTTATTTTATTTTTTAAGTGCTGGGAGCCTGGGGCTGGGCGGGGGCGGGGACTGGGCAGGGCAGCCATGGGGGCTTCTCCCTTGGCTCCCCCCACCTAGGGAGAGGCAGGCACAGCTGGTGGAGCCACCTGGCTGTGCCTGCCT